TGAGACGCGAGCGCATGAGACAGATGCGAGCGCATGAGACGCGAGCGCATGAGACAGATGCGAGCGCATGAGACGCGAGCGCATGAGACAGATGCGAGCACAGACAATGTTTAATAATGCTGCACAGCCCGCACATATTCAGACCTCCCTTCCTGGCGTGCAGACACGCACGGAGAAGGCACTAGCTAGCCAGGTCTGGAAGGGGGGAGGGGGAAGCCGAGGTGGGAGAGGGGGACTTACTCTCGTGGCGTGCTGAGCCAGCCTTCAGCTGCTGGTTGGGCTGCTTCAGAGCCTCTCTAAGCACGGCCGCTGTTATCTCCACGACCTTGTACGACCTGCGACGAGAAAACACGACGTCATGCACATGTCACGTTTGATATACAGTTTTGCCACCGAAACTAAGCACACACACACGCATGCAGCTTAAAACATTAAACGTTAAACGTTTTCATGACGTCGCAATTTCAAGGCTGCATGCAACGTGTGATATATACTTTTGACGTCGAAACTAAGCATACAAACACACATGCACCTTAAAACGTTAAACGTTAACCCAATGTTTTTTACAACGTCGCAACTTCAAGGCTGCATGCAACATGTCTCATGTAACATTTTCGCGACGTCTAAACCTTTACACGTTTTAATCAAGTGGAAGGTTTAAACCCCATCTCGCAATCAACATTTGTACAGCATTGAAACTTGACCGACGTGAAATGTGGAGATTTTTATCATATCAAACGTTTAACCGCATTTTGCGTTTAACATCTAAACTGCATCAAAACATGAAGTGCATTTCACGTTCATCATTTGCACCACATTAAAACTTTCGGCCTCATTTCACGTTTTTTCGGCGTGGTCTTTACGAAGAAGGAACGTCATTGAAATAATTCAATTTAATTCAATCAAATCCCGACTGCCGGAAATTTTCCCATAAAAAACAACAAGGCGAAGCACTCACGTCTCGCCACTGCTGTCGTCTTCGTTCGGCAGCTGGAAGACGATTGGCTGATCGCCGGCGTCCTTGCTAAGGTCGTCAAGGTCAAAGCTGCTGAGGTCGGTGAGGCTCTTGGCGAGATTGGAGAGATCGAGCTTGCTCAGCTTCTGTCGCTCACTGCTCGTGTTGCTCGTGTTGCTGATGCTGCGAAGATGAGAAGCCACGACTCGTTAGAGATTCAGATATCGAAAACGATGTTCAGATGTTATTTCGATATCAGATTTTACTTCGAGTAGCATTTGGGTGCAAACTGATACTCCTTCCTTATAAGACGATTAAGTTTAAATTTTTCGCTATATCTTGGTCGCCACCTTGATTCGTTGCAAATGTCGGGATTCTGGTATGTTAGTTTACAATTAATTTGAAGATGAGTTATGTTTCGTATCCGGGGTTCAATAACCTGGGAGCAAGAGATCGGTACCAGTCCCTAAAGATGACTGAAGCACATTCCTCGCTACACATTACAAATTCAATATACAAACTTACACTGAAAATACAAAGGATCCTGAAAGACTCGCTGTCTCTCTCTCAGTCTTTCTCTCTCTCTCTCTCTCTCTCTCACTCTCTCTCTCTTAATCGCTTTCTGTCCCTCTCCCTCTCTCCCTCCTCTCCCCTCCCCCCTCCCTCTCATTCCACACACCTGCTGAGGTTCATCAAGCTCTTGGCGGCTGCCCTGCTCATCAGCAGGCCTCCGTAGCGTGGCGACGCGGCGTAGTTGTCGCTGATGCGCCGCTGCTTGACGGGAGAGAAGCTTGTGTGAGCGTTCCTCGCGTTCATCAACGCCTCCTCATCCTCGCTGCTGTCAGCGGACACCTGGTGGCGGCACGCAGAAACACACATGTACGCGCGCCCCGACAACACCCGGTGGAATATGGTAAAAGCGCAAGTACCGACCCCTGGTGGCGGCACAGAGAAACACACATGTATGCGCGCGCCGACACCCGGTGGCCGGTTAAAGAATCGTGCAAATACGCGCGCTGAGACCTGGTGAAATATAGGAAACGTGCAAGTGCTGACACCTGGTGGCGGGTTAGAGAATCTTTCATGTAAGGTACCATACACATACAACAGTAGCCTTATGCAAATTGTTCACCGTAGCACTATTTCGTCTCTGGAAAAAGACCTTTTGATTTTTTTTGGCGGTAAAATGCGGGACTAGAGTGCACTAATTTGCATTATGCATGCAAGGTAGATATCTCGTGGACGTTTAGAAAGAATTGAGATTGGTTTTGTCCCGTAATTGTGGCATTCCGTCACGAGGCGTAGCCAAGGTGACCGGTCGGCCATTTCCGTGTTTGAAACTGGATCCGACTACATGCTGAAAATACTGTATACGCCATATTTTTCGCGTATAGATATTTTCGAATTCAGACTTGACGGACAATTTTGCGAGTGGTTAATTTCGCGGTCGGTGAATTATTAATTATTCGGTATTAATTATTCGAAATTTGCGAAAATTAAACCAGCGCGAAATATACAGCGTATACAGCGTACTCGACACTCACGTGTCGGTGCCGGGAGTTCGGCGTTCCGGAGAAGGTCTCTCGCCGCTTCACGATGGCTGCCGGTATCGGGGAGACGCCGGGCGAGTCCTGCGCGCCGCCGCCGCCGCCCTGCTGCTGCTGCTGCTGCTGTAGCTGCTCGTCGTCCCATATCGACCTCACCTTGACCTCGGTGCCCTGCTGACCCCAGCGCCCCCTGGGCTGGTGACGCGGGCTGTTGTCGTCAGTCGTCGAGTTCTTGACGAGTACGCCCTCCCCGGACATCTGCACAGATCACAATCTCGTGTTATTTTTCGTGGGGTTTAGCGCCACGCCGAATTGATTACAAAACCTGAATACTCGGCTTAGATAGGCTTAGATGTTAGTGATATGAAGCCCATTTTGACCTATGAGACTTATATATTACGCCGATAAGGTGCCTATACTGTGCCCAGGATGGTGCCACATCACGCACATGAATGCTCGCCTGTTGCTGCACCCACGACGGCACCACGTCACGCGTACGAATGCTCGCCTGTTATTGCGCCCACGACGGCGCCTCGTCACGCGTACAAATGCTCACCTGTTTCTGCGCCCAAGATGGCACCTGTCCCATGCTGAACCTACAGTCGGGAGTCTCCTCAGAAGAATCCTCCGGGATCTTCGGCGGAATGTTGCAGTTGGCCGAGTGTCCAGAGAGCATGGAGATCGTGTCGTCTCCCTCGGAACTCTCGTCCGATCCGGGTTCCGTTTCCGACATGATCGTGTTCGGAATTTTCAGAAACGTCGTTCGTCTGTTCAGAGAAAATGTTGTGAACAACACGGCGTGAATGCTGGAGTGAACATAGTGTATAGAGAACACACTGTAAACAATAGTATGACCTATACAGCATGAACATAGTGTGAACAACATAGTTTGCCCAAGCACATGAACATACTTTGAACAAACAACATAGCGTGAACAAGTTCGAACAACACAGCCCACAGCATAGTGCAAAAACAGTGTGAACAATAGAGAATGAACATATCATGAACAACACAACACGAACATAGTATGAACAACAGTGCGAACGACGCAGTATAAACAATAATGTGACCTCCCGGCGGCAACCCGGCACAGCGCACAGAGACCACGCTACGTTATGCTCACCTGAGGTCACGCTGCGCGTTCCTGTTCATCATCTTGCCGAGCTGAGCGAGACGAATCTGCATGTTCCGCACCAGGTCCGGATTCAGCTTCCACACGAATATGCAGCTGCAGAAAAAAACGAGATCAATGTATACATATAATTATATATATTATATTTATAGGTAAATTATGGGTATTATTAGCTCTTGATACCATCTCCTAATATTTCGTTAAACCTGACATGAATATATATGATATCATTGGTATGCTTCTGGTTAGCACTGAAGCTTGAAAGCTCCAGTAAAACTTACCGCGTTCACAAGTTAACAGATTTATAGTGTTCGTTGGAAACCAGTGCAGCAGCAAATAAAAGCGATACAGAGAAATCAT